GGCTAGAGAGTTTTGTGAACCCCAGTGCCAAAGAGGCCAGCCAAGAATGCAGATGCCACCACCAAGTCTGTGTGGCACATCCTCACACTTTGTTTAATTTAGTTTCCTGGGTGGAGTGAGTTATATGAGCAGGTGTTCTGGTTAATTAGGTGATTAATATTCCTCAAATTGAAGAGCCATTTTCTCAGTGATAGTTCTTGCTTTGCTCAAATATGAGACAAATCTTCATTGCATAGTTTGGAGAAGCCCATGACTGCACTTACCTGTCTGCCAGGCCTCTCAGGTCAGCACTCTGGCACTGAGGACCAGGAGCCTGACCCCACATCTGGCAAGATCATATAAAAATAAGAAAGTTCTGAACCACAGTTACATGGTTGGAGTAAAGACCAAGTAATGCTTGTCCACTATAGGTGGACCTGGATTTTGGAAAGTTCTGTGGCCCTATCTTCTTCTCCAGGATCGGTTATATATTTTAAAATTGTGTATTAATTCCTCAAATATTTATCTAGTCAGAGTAGACCCTGCCCCTTGGGGAAGCTCAATAGTTTAACTGGCAGTAAGCTTTTATTATTTCCTTCATTCTCAAGGGAGAAAGAAAGAAGCAATTTGCATTTTAAAAAATTGCCTCCCAGGTACCTTTCCCTTAACCCTGCTCTCCAGAAATGACCTAAAAATTCATGTACATGAGTTATTCTCTCTCCCAGGAGGACTTAATAGAGATCACAGTTTTAATCTAAAATTGGAGTTTTCATGGATTCTCCTTCCACTCCCTCCCTGTTCACCTACACCTCCAAGATCTGCCTCAGTGGCTCCATGAAGTAATGTACCAGTTTCAGGGTCCCTAATAGATGACATAACTGAAAGGAGTAAATGAAGAAAGTTATTGAAGGGACTATTTAGAAAAGTGAGTCAGGGTTAAGGAATCAATAAGGGATGGGGTCTACCCCAGGTTTAGCAACAGTGGGAAGCTGTACCTGCTTCTACCCTCTACAGAGATAAGGGGGTGGGAATGGTAGCTGGAGGACATGAACTATGACCTTCAGAGGAAGTAAACCACTGTCAAACTGCTGTCCTTGTGGAGGAAGTCCTGGCCTCTACTCCAGCTCTCTGAGCTAGTTCCCCACATGGCCAGACCCAAGGGAGGGCAGGTGATGCAGCCTGTAGAGGTCAGCCTCCTAGGGATAAATAGGGTGACAGTGGGCAAAGACTGACCTGGATAATCCACCAGAGAACGACAAGCACAAATGGAAACTGACAATGGGTGGGAGCAAACAATCAGAAAGGAGTGTGGGGGGGTTATAATTTTCAACCCACCCCCACCCCAGAAATTCTGTAACAATGTAATCTCCTCCTCCTCCTCCAAAAGATCAAGTAACACTCATTAAAATAAGTAAAATTGCAACAACAGGATGTCAAATAAGCTAGCTGACTAGGAAGATTATTCATTCACATATTTGTTCATTTATTCATTCATCAATCATCAAATATTTTTTTGTACCTCTAGGTATCAGGCATGCAAAAATGGACTAGACATCTCTATATACTTGAAGTGTTTATAATAAAATGTTGGAGTGAATGGATTGGATCGAGCCACTGCCCTTGAGAATTTGAGAGTCTGGACCAAAGAGATTTCCTGGAGAAATGGCCAGCCAAACTGAGTCTGGGCTCGCCAGATAGGAAAGAGCAGAGAAGGATGATCCAGGAGAGACACTGAGTGGTGTCAGAGACTGATGGGAGATGAGGTGGTAGAGGCAGAAATCTACTTCCCAAGTTCAGGATTACATTTTCCAGGTTTGCATATAAAAAAAAAATCCTTTGATCATTAGAGTAAGGATGGATTGGTGGAACAAACTAAGTTAGAGAATGGATGTGGGTGCCATGTGAGCAATGGCGATGCCTGAAGAATCTGAACAATGGCAGGAGGCCCCAAAATGAAGAGGGACAAACTCAAGAGACAATGATGGGGAGATCTGACAGGGCTCAGGAACTGCATGGCTAAGGTGTGAAGCAGAGGAAAGGTGCTTTGGTGCTGTTTTGTCTTCTCATTCCCCTGCTTTGTTAGCCGACAGCTCCCCAATTTTCCTTTGCGAGTACTGCTCCTACCTGCCAGCTGAGTGTAGGTTCCATGGAACTGTCACCCATAGGTTCTCATCTTCTCTGGCCAAGGCAGTGATCATGTGGCCTAAGTCAGGCCAATCCGTCTTTCCCTCCTGGGAATTTGGGAATCTTGGGCTTGGCACCTAGATCCTGCCTTGGTTCTTATCTTTTCTAAAGTGTCCTTCTTCATTTTTCCCCTTATAAATGTTGTATGCCACCCAAAGGCCTTTTTAACTTCAATTAGTTATTCTCTGGCCCATAAATGATGGCGCCTTTTACCAAGGCACAGAAAACAGGTAGAGGAGTTATCTAGAGAGAATGGGTGGGCAGTTTGCTTTGAGAAACTTATGGAGAAGAAAGAGAAAAATCTGAAAGTTGGTTCTGGAGGCTTCTGTGGAACTCTGAAAAAAATCACATCACAGAGTGTAAAAACATCTTTAACACTTAGACATAAAAAAAAAAATCTGACTCAACAGCCTGACTTCCCAAGGATTTACCCAGACTTCTCTCCTCTCTGAGACTCAGTTTCCCTGATAGTTCATAGAGGGTTTAATGATATTGAGGGTTCTCCAAATAGTCCAAAGAATTTTAAGTTTACATGTAAAGAGGTCAGCTATCCTGGAAAAGAGGGTTAAACAGGTCTTAATCCAGTCTCCTTACCACAGTACTTCTTGGGGTCTTGAATTCACTCGTCTGTGATGCACATCTCTGAGACAGGTGAAAATGAGCAGCATTTCTCACTCTATGTTTTGCCCTAGGAAACAACCCCCACCCCATGATGAACCCATGAAGAAACACACAGAACTAGTAGTTGTCAGAATGCACTTGCAGAAACGCTGGGTCAGGTGATTTCTGAGGTTGTTCCAGCCCAAACAGTCCCTGATCCTGTGGAGCCTGTGTCTTGAATACTTCCTGTCTCTTACACTTGCCTCTTCCTTGGGGGTGATTGACCCCTGCACTCTGTTCTCCCAGGGAAAAGCACATTTCAATGCCTATGAAGTCACCTAAAGCTATAGTGGCTCATGAAACCCCCCAGCAGTTTAAATGGAAACACAGCCTCCTCCTCCCCTCTATGCTCAGAGCACAGACCCAGGCCCAGCCTGAAGGGATTCGGAACATGCTCTAGTGTGCATTTGGGAAAACAAAGAAAACCCTACTCTTTTCTGCTCCAGACTGTCTGAGATGCTCGTGTGCCCTTGGGCCTTTGCCCAGCTCTCTCATCTGCCTCAGACCTGGTGCTAAATTGGTTCAAGGTTTGGAGGAAAGCCTCAGAGGAAAGGATGGTTAGAGTTCTTAAATGCTGAAATCACCCACAAGGACCAGAGGCCCAAAGACCTCTATGGCCACCAGAGGGCGATCACAAGCATCTGTATTTTTTTAGGGAAAGCTGTTCCCAAGAATAACAGCTGTAAATTGCACCTAATGTGTTTATGAATGATGGAGGCTGAAGTGTGCATGTGTGTATGCACATACGTACAATTAGGTGCCTGGAACTAAGACTTTGAAAATCTGCTAAGTACAATAAAATAAAATCTGCACCTCTACTATATATTCACAAGATGTGGTCAAATAATTGAAAGTTTCCTTATGGAAAATGAGGTAGAAGGAATCAGAATAGCATTTCCATGAAAGAAAAGGAAAGAGTTCCCAGTGGCGTAGTTTTTGTCATTGGTACATGTGATACTGTGTTTGTGTTCTGAGAATGCATGTGCATGTGTGTGTGTGATTGTGAGCTCGAGTGTGTGTAAGCATGTGTATGTATGTGTGTATGTGTGAATGTGTGTATGAGCAGGGCTCATTCAGACTTTTCCAGTGTGAGCAGGCCCCAAGGAAGTCTGGGCAATGCTTCCTCCAGTTCCTGCTCTCTGCCTGCAAACAAACAAACAAAATCATTCCTACGAGTATTTATGGAGCCTCTAACACATGCGCTCCTCCCCACAGGCATCTGGAAAAGCTCAGACCTGGCCAATTCAGGGCAGGCACTGAAGTAGGAAGGCGCTGGGGGCAGACGCGCTGCCTCCTCTGTGAATGGCTGTTTTGCAAAAACACTTTCTCTTCTTTGATGCTCCACACTACCCAGTGAGGTGGGCACAGGGCTGCGGCCCCCTTTCTTTGAGGAAAGGACGCCCCAGATGTGGCAGGTTGGCCCAGGTCACCTTGCAGAAGTACAAGGGCTATAGAGGCAGCATCACTACTTTTAGCAGCACAGCAGGCACTGGGTCTGGGCAAAGCAGGGCAGGCATGGGAGTGGGGGGTGGGTAGGGTTTGTCATCAGCGATCTGAACAACACGGGCAGCCAAATTCTGTGACATGTGTAGCTGCGGAGTGCATTCGTGTCAATATAGTAGGTCCTTTAGGAGTAAGTTGTGGATCTTTGTCAAGATTAGGTGGGATCTCTGAGCATCTTTCTGATGAGGTAGCGACGCAGCTTTGATGGACTGTGATGTAAAAACGTGGGTGAAGTGGAGAGTGCAGCGGTTTGGGGTTCCTAGTAGCTGTGTGACCTCCGGCAAGTCACGTCACTTCTCTGAGCTTTTTTTTTTTTTTAACTATAAAATGGGGATAACTTAAATGCCCCCTTGCGGGACGCTGTTGGGACCGAAAGAAAAAATATGAGCAGAGTGCCTAGCTCAGTGCCAGATTAAAGAAGAAGCGTCACCAGCCTGATTTGTCCTTGGTGAACGACTCCCAGTTCTGGGGCCCGGCTGGCGGAGACCCTTTCCTTTCCTTCCTTCTCCCTCCTCTGCTGCCCCCTCCCTCTGGGCTTCGGTTGCTCTAGCAAAGTTCTCAACTTAGTCAACATGACGCGCAGCGTAGCCAATGGGAGGCGGAGCTGGCGTTTTTTTGTGGGGGGGGGGAGGGGGGGGCCCGCGTCTCTGGTGTCTGCCCTGCTCAGTGAATGGAGAGAGCAAGCGCCGGCCAGCTCACCCCGCTGCCCTGTGCCCAGGCCGCCACTGCCGCGCTCTCGAGCCCAGCTCCAAGGCGGACCTCCTCGGGCACTGTGCCCCACTGCGCTGCGGCCCCAGGTCCCCGACCCGGTCCGCACCCCGGGCAGCGGGCCAGCGGGGCCAGGGGGCGCTCGGCACCTGGGCACTCCAAGCGATGTGCAGCGGGGCAGCGTCGGCCCCGCCGATGGAGCTGCTGCCTTCTCCCTGGCCCGGCGCGCCCCGCTCCTCCTGCGCCCCGTGCGCCTGAGCGCCGAGCTCGCTCCTCCTCCGCGCCAACTCCACCGCCTGCTCTCCAGGCCGTCCGTGCTCCCCCGCGTCTCCCCGGGCTCTACGCATCTTGCCCCACGGAGGCAGCTTCCTCCGGGCGCGAGCCCCTGCACACCATGGCCCCCGGGCGGACAGGGGCCGGCGCCACCGTGCGCGCCCGCCTGGCGCTGGCCTTGGCGCTGGCGAGTGTCCTGAGCGTGGCCCCCGCCGCCGCCTGCCCTACCAAGTGTACCTGCTCCGCCGCCAGCGTGGACTGCCACGGGCTGGGCCTCCGGGCGGTTCCTCGCGGCATCCCCCGCAACGCCGAGCGCCTGTGAGTACCCCTGCCCCGCCCCACTCGGGCCACCCACCTGGGTTCCACAGAGAGGCCCCCAGGTGCCAGATTCTGCCTTTTCCTTTGGCCAGGCTGTCTGCAGTCTCTGCTCTCACCCTCCTGGATGGGATCCTTCGCTCTCTGACAGGGGTCTGTGGCTTTGGGCAGGTCTGGGGAGAGCAGTCCCGAAGCCCACTGCGGTGGGCAAAGAGCAGTGCCTCTCCAGGGGTGAGGGCTGCAGACAGGGCCCGCTGACAGCTTCCAAGGAGAATGCTGGCAGGAGAAGGAGAAGAGAACATTTCAGCCAAGGAGGTCTTAGGGTGAGGATAAGGAATCCGCGCTCCTGAAAGAGGGGCAGAGGAGAAGGGGTGATGGGGCGGCAGGCGCGGAGAGAGGAGAAAGGGCCGAGTCTGTGACCAGCTTGGAGATCAGAATGGGCCAGCCGCTGTCTGGCTGCCCTTGCGAGGAAAGTTGAGAGTGTGTGTGAAGGTCTAACTTCTGAGGAACCAAACGAATTCAGAGAGGGTGCTCGCAAAACCCGCCCTGCCTGGAGCGCAGCCTCGGAGATGCCAAGCTGCAGTCAGGGTGGATTTTTTATGGCTCGCTTATAAATGCCTACCCGAAAGGGCCAGAGAAGGAGAATGGAAATGCTGACAGCCCTTTAAATGAGACCAAGCGCTATAATCTTATAAACCGCACGCAGCCTCAGGTCCTGGGCTTGGCAGCGGGAGGAGAGGCACTCCGAGAGTGGGGTGGATTGACCCTCGTTTTAACCCCAATTGTGCAACCAAATATTTACATTTCATATGTCAACGTTTTGGAAACATTTATCATTTTGATCCTCAGACCAAATTCAAAACTTGGACTCAGGGTGGGCTCTTCCTAGCCTGCAGTTTGGGGAGTAGGAAAGGGGGGAGAAAGGGTGGAACTGGCCTGGGAACACAGCCCAGAAGTGGGTGAGAGTTTGCTCTGGTGTGGCAGACTTCCTCTGTGTCTTGCCCTCCGTCCATCCTCTTTCCCCACATGTCTTAGGGTAGATGCATTCTGCCTTCGTGACTTTAGGCTGGAAGAGAACAGTGCTAAGTCTGAGATGAATTGTCCTAGAGCATGTTATTCCTGGTCATCACCCCCTGCCACCTCATTTCTAGTCTTCCTCTTTATATATCCTTGGGTGGAGACACAATAGACCTGCCTTCCTTTTTCCTGGAGCTTTCCTGAAATCTCCAAATGAGTTAGTGAAAAAATAACTGTAGCTAATGTTTGATGAATACTTTTCCTGCCTCAGTTTGTTAGCATGTACTATCTCATTGTCTCCCTACAACAGTCTTATTACTAGAGGCCCGGTGCATGAGATTCGGCCATTGAGGGGTGGGGGTTCCCTCAGCCCAGCCTGTACCCTCTTGCAGTGTGGGAGCCCTCAAGGGATGTTCGACTGCCAGCTTAGCACAGCCACAGAAGTGGGAGAGGCTCAGGCCACCACCACTGTGCTCGCCAGCCATGAGCCCAGCTCAGGGCTTCTAGCTGAGCTGCACTCCCCTTGTGGGAGTGCACTGACCATCAGGGGGCAGCTCCTGCCTTGAGCATCTGCCCCCTGGTGGTCACTGTGTGTCATAGTGACCGGTTGTTCCTCCATTTGGTCAATTTGCATATTAGCCTTTTATTATATTGGATTATTATATTGGATACTGGTAATGCTCATTATTTCACTTTACAGTTAAGCCATCTTGTCATTTGCTCAAAGTCATGTACCTAGTTAAGTGTTCCAATTTGAACATGTCTGGTTCCTAAGTCCACACCTCTACTACTCTGCTGGACCTCTTAGAACAAGAGTCAGTTTAGGCCAAGATCTATAAACAGAGAGTTCTGTGAGGGTTCTGACTGGGCTTGGGGCTTAGAATAGGCAACTGCTGCTGCTGCTTCAGGTATGTGCTACAACAGCCAGCTTACGTTGACTTGAGCTCTCCTTTGGGAGTCTTGAGACTACTTTTCCCCTGACTTCAAAATCCTGCTGCATTTTGGGAAACAGAGGAGAGTGGGCCATTTCCTCCTGACACGTAGGACATCTTCACGAGCTTCATAGGTGCAGGCCTGCAGTGAGCACCCCACCCCAGAGGACTCATCTGCTCTACAACTGAGAAGAGTTGGGTGGAGACTGGAGTCCTTGGCATTTCCATGGGCCCCTGCTGGAGTCATGGTCACTGGCAGGCATTGGCAGAGTAGGAGGTGCTTTGGAATACCTGAGTCTTGGCTGCCTTAATTCTGGACACTGGTGCCACTTTGGGGTGCAATGGGGTGATGCAGCAAGGCTGGCCTCATTCTAGGCTCTGTCCTCCTGGGGAGAAGGGGCAGCCTTTAGAAGCAAGCTAGGTCAGGATGAATGTAAGGGTTAGGAGCAGCCTGCCCATAGTCCTTCACCACTTTTCACTCTCAGTCAACTCAGCTATAGCATTTTAAGTCTGCAAACTTCTGTGGAGATATTTGGCATATCTATGCAAAGGATTTCTTTAAAGAAAAGTTTCTCATTCTTCCCTTCATTCATTCAACAAACATTACTTGAGTATCTACTGCATTCCAGTAACTGTGTATAAAAACATTGCATACGCAGAAAAAAAAGCCTGCGATTCAACTTAAAGAATGTAAGCAAAGGAGGGGGGAAGGAAACATCTCTTCATGAGCCCTCTGAACTTCTCAGGGCTCAGTTTTTTCATGGGCATATGTTTTGTCAGCATTGCTGTCAGATGCTTGGGATCTTCCTAAAATTCATTTTCTGATCTCACACGTTTACACTGTGCTTTATAACAAAAAAAAATTTT